ACGATTGCGGCCTCGGCCTCCGTGCACGACGAGCCCGTTGGCGGCCACACGATGAACGCCGTCGTTCAGATGACGCTCGTGCAGGCGGTGGACGCGACAAGTGCTGCCTGCGACGTTGTGGTGCGCGTGCAGGCCGAGCGGTTATCGGGACCGGCGTCGCCCCAGAAGACAAGGAAGCGATCCTTGTCAGCGTCGGACGCGGCCGCGGCGCTCAAGCGTCTCCGCACGGGCTAAGTCGCGCCTAGCACCCGACGTATGTAGCTTTAGCCACGACGTTCTTGTCGTACGAATACGCTGGACGAGCCGCGCGCATCGATGCTCGTCCACCGCCACTCTTTTTCCCGCGCGCGATGTAAGCTTAGCCGTTGTAGACCCGTCGTTTTACCAGCAGACACCGTTGAACTATAGATATGTTGAATCTACTTGGATGGACATTGTTTCTTGCGGTGTCTTCGTGTCCTGCGATCCATGACCATGGACAAGGCAGCTGGACAAGGCGAGAGGCTGGACGATTGATTGGATGAGTCGCAGGGCCGTGTGCCCAGCATGGGTGCGTTGTGCTGGCCACTGGACGCACACTACAGTGTATGCTGTTCAATTAGTAGCGTCCGATGGCAGCTCCTTCAAGCGAACGCAAAGAAAAGGCGCACCCAATGCTGGAGCTCATTTGGCCACAGTGGGCAGCGGAAGATTGCACTGCAGAGAATGATAGTGGCAGCACAACAACACAACACGACCTTTCCGCGGGCCAGTCTTGCATTGCAATCGCTTGTGATTGGCCAAAAAGCCGCCAATCCGACGGTCGCTTTCACAAACGATGACGACGCTGGTCGACCTCGTCGTCGAGTTCCTCGAAGTCGGGGTCCACGAATTCATGTAGTGCCCCCTACCCGGCCCTGTCGCTGACGCACCTTGTGTCTGTAGCTACGGCTGGCAAGTCTACCCACCAGGTGCGGCAATCTAGTGTCGTTGCCCGCCCTCACGTTTTCCTCTAGAGCTCTTCGAGCGCTGTCAAAAGTACAGCGTGCCCGTGCACGCATGCCGTCATCCCGCGCTTGGCGAGTACATTCACACGATGCTTGAGAGCTGCCGCGCGTGGATCAGGGACGGCCGATTGGAGAAGCTTCACGTTGCAATTCTCGCTGCGTCGGGCGAGGTCCTCGACACGTGCGTCTTCGAGGTCGGTGTCCTCGCCAGCACCAAGGGTGAGCTACCGCTTGTGGCGATTGAAGAGGCCTTCCGTAAGGCGCTCGTACACATTGCGTCGGCGCCGGCGGTAGCGGTCGCACCAGCAGGCACGCCGTTCACCAAGTCGTTTCGCTTGTACGTCGATACGTATGAGGAGAGCGCGGTGCCCGAGACAAGGGTCCAGGAAGAGCTTCAAAATTCGTGGGTGCTTGCGCCAGACGAGCCGCACGTGCCGGGTCGGGCGCTGTACCCAATAGCGTCGACAGCGTCTGCGCTTCCCTTGCGCCTCAACGTCTACGTCGTCCAAGAGCCGCGGCTGCAATTGACGGGCGAGGCCAGTAGTACGGCAACGACGCCGTGATGTAGCATTACGTGCACGAAACAATCCAGCCAAGTTGAACTTTGCGGTAATACTGTGTACGTACAGTGTAAAAGACACTGTACTGGGAGGAAGACAGCGCGTGGCGACGTACGGTACCGGAGGGTAGTAGCAGTAGCACGCTTTTGCACCGGCGATTTCTTTTCTGGGTGGCTGCCCGAGCCCCATAAAGCCACATCGCGATGCCTTGCTCAAGATATCGCGACGGCTACCCGCACCCATGCCGCAACCAGCCAGTGTACCGTACAGAATCTGATTTGCCAGAACGTTGCTGGTGACCTGCAACGCGATCCTCAACAATTGAGCAACATCAGCAGACTGCGGAATGTTGAGCACTTTATCGCAAAGCGCAATCGATCTACGCACCCAAATCCCAGCGCTTGCGCGGTCTGCATTTCAACAACCACAATCCCTTACAGTGTATTCGTTGCCCGCTGCTTTGGCTCGGCGTTGGCTGAGAAGAGCAGTTCGCACCGTGCAGCTGACTGCATGCACAACCCAAGCTCCAAGCTTGGCAGGGCATGTTGGACGAAGATCGGTCCGCCGAGCGCCTGTCGAAAGTTGATCTGTCCCAATACTGGTACCGGTAGTCATGCTAGCTCTGATGGAGTCGACGCCCTCACCACTGGTGAGGGCGTCGGCTCGGGAAGGAAAGGGCAGCACGTTGCAACAGCCGCGCTTTTGCGATTGTCTACCCAACGGTGCGTTCGACAAAACGCTGGGTCCCATTTGCGCGGGTAACGGTTGAGCAACCGGATGACAGAAGAGCTACCTACCACGATTCCATCCGCCCGTTGGAGCTCAGGCCTACAGCGTGTGGCTGCAGCGATGAGCTTCGCGAGTGTGTCGGCCGTGTACGAGGGCCCACACCTGGCGTCGCTTGACGGATTCGCGTCGTGGAGAGCGACGTTCTTGGATGCTGCGGGCGACCTGCGCCTCGACAAGTACTACACGGAGCCCGACTATGAGGATGCGATCTTGTCCAACCTCGTCTCACCGGCCAAGACCCACCTCTTGACGAGCCGCGCCGAGTGCGCCGAGCCCGCGGTGCCCAGCAGGCTGAGTGCCCGTAAATGGGAAAAGAAGATGCAACACCGCGAGGCCCGCGTGCAGGAGCGAGTCGCGCTGGCCCTGGGAAAGGAAGCCGCGCACTTGAAGTGCCGTGCGGCGCGCATCGCCCGCCTGTACCTTCTCTCTGCATTGGGCCCACCGCTGCGCTCTGAAGCCAGCGCCCTCGCGAGCCCTAGCGCGATCTGGTCTTGGCTCAACGCCAAGTTCTGCGGGGACACAATGCATGCGACGAGCACGGGGCTGGTTCGCCAGCTGCAGTGCGCCATGCAGATCCAGCTCGAGCGCGACGAGGACCCTGTGGTGTTCTTTGAGCGCTTTGAGATCGCAGCCAACGCGTACGTTGTGCCGTATCTGGCCGCTTGCGGTGGTGCCAGGGATACGACGCAGACGTACGCAGACGTGGTTGGCGACCGCTTCCGCGTCGCGCTGCTTGCCAACGCGCTGCCACCGTATTTGAGAGACATGTTTGAGCAGTGGCAAGCAGGCTTTGCGCACTGGGACTACACGCGCATCAAGCAGCATGTCATGAGCCAACTGGAAACGGTGCCTCGTAGTCCACCGCAGGAGCAAGTGCAGGAGGAGCTGCTTGCCAAGAAGGAGCCGAGCTGCAGCTACTGCCACTCGACGAGGCATTCAGACGCGACGTGCGTGCAGCGCACCAAGGCGAGCCCGCGAGATCAGCTGCCGGCTCTCAAACGCCGCAGACAGACCGCCGACGAGTCAACGCGGATCAAGGCCGAGGGATGCGAGCTGGTCATATCCATCGCCGACTCATCCGACGACGGCGCTGCGCGTGCACATTCATGGCAACGTTAAACGAAGAGGTAAACGGGTTCGAGTCGTCGCGAGCAGCAGCCAAGCGCCAACTCAAACAGCAACGCGCCATCGCGCTCTAGCACATCGGCTGACGCGAGGCAAGCGTCCAGTGGATCAGCAAGCCAACGTCGCAACGCCGAGGAATTGCTCATGAGACTTTAACTTGTTTGAAGATGGCTGGCAGCGGCTGTTCCAGTTCATCGCAGCTCATGCAGGATAGAAACGTGGTTTCTTTCTGGCCCCGCGACAGCGCATCGCATCGTTGGCAGGTTGAATTCAATTATGTCATTTTTGGGTTGGACGCACGTTCGCTGGTTGGGCGAAACCTGTTTAAACAGGTTTATTGACCTCTGCACGCTGATTCGTCAATGTCGACCAATGGCATCGCGGTCACAGGCCAACGAAATCCACGGGATGCCAACGCCAATGCTGCTTGCGGACATCGACGACTTTGAGACGTGGAACGTCGGCTTCCTCGACGCGGCCGAAGAGCTCAACCTCCATGAGTACTACACGACCAAGGACTACGAGGACCCCGACCTCGCCGACTACATCTCGCCGGCCAAGATGCACCTCATCACGACCAACGCCGAGTTTGCCGAGCCGTATTTGCACCCCAAAGAGACCACAGCCGCGTACGAGGAGGCGCTCCACCGACGAAAGAGCCTTGTCAACGACCGCATCACGGTTGCTGTCCTGGCCGAGTGCGCGGCGATCAAGGCGCGCACGGCTCGGCGCGCCGCGCAGCACCTGCGCTCGGCGCTTAGTCCGCGCCTCCGCGACTGCCTGCGTACATTGCACAGTCCATACGACATGTGGGAGGCACTGCGCCAGAAGAGCACGGACGCCACCCGAGACAGCGACCTCGTCGAGCTATTCGACCGCGTTTTGTCGGTGCAGGACGATCGGCACGAGTCGGCGGGCGCCTTTTGTAGCCGGTTGGAAGACGCCATCGACCGCTATATTATGGCGCTCTTTCGACCAATGGTGGCATCAGCAGAGCGCGATGCAGTCGTCGATCGGCTCCGAGCGACGTTCCTCGCGCAGGCGGTCGGAGCCCGCTTTCAAGACACCTTGCGCGACTGGCGGCGCGGCAATCCGTCGTGGGACTATGGGAGTCTGAAGCAATGGGTTCACACACACTGGCGCCTTCCTCCGCCGCTCCAAGCCTCCGAGGACGTTGGGTTCCTGAGCCGACATCCACACAAAAGGAGCCGCGTCCACGACAGCAATGCGGACGACGACAACACGTCGTCACCGCCTGCGAAAGCGACGCGCCGCGAGACGCATCTCTCGACCGCATCCGAAACGAGCGAAGGCGAGCGCGAAGATGACGAGGATAGCAGCCACAACAACGACGACGACGACGACCAGGATCAAGGCCACGTTTGGATCGCCGAGACCGCCCATTCACAAGCTCATTTCGATTGGTAGGTGGACCGACAGCGAGTGTATGCGACTCGTGGAGCTCGTCGCAAAGCACGGGCGACAGTGGGCGAAAGTACTCCGGAAGGGCGTTGCGAATAAGATGCTGCACCCGAGCCGAACCATGGACGGCATTCGGGTAGATTGCGATGCAACGGCGACGATGACAGTAACATGTCCTATGTGCAGAGCAAGTACAGGAAAATGTGCAACCTCGACCCGTCCTTGAAGGCGCAATCGTCGAATGCCTACTACTCGGCCGCCGAGATCGCCTTTCTCGAAAAGGCCCTCGTCAAGTACGGCAATGACGCGCCTCGAATCGCGGCCAAGGCGCGAGCCAGATGCGTTTTGCCTGGTCGCACACTTGAAAGCATCCAGGTAATTCTGCTACCTCTCCAGCAGTTGCTGACGTTTGATGACGATGATGTAGAAAAAGATCAAGCGAATGCTCGCGGAGACGACACCCCAAACAATCAAGAGCCAAACCATCATCTAGTCGACGTGCACAGCCTTTTGCTTTTCGACTTGGATGCGACATTGCCTCATATTGCTTGCTACTACATGTCGTCGTTGTGTCGTGGGCGAAGACGACGTCAAGCTTGGGCCACCCCGCACACACGACCGAGGTCCGTTAAGGCCCACTTTGTAATTCATTGTATTTGTGTGTCGGTTTGCACATGGACTCGGAATGTTCCGACTCGGACTGCTTGCGCTGAGATTCCTCTTGACGAGCTAGAGATTTCATGTTAACCAGATGACTGTCAGTTGCCCTCGAAGAGAATAAATTCGTTTTCCCTTGGCCTCACAAAGCACGCATCAAAGGCACGTGGCGCAAGGTGTACGCGGGCGCGTCACAAAATTACACTTACCGACAAGAGCTTTGGCAGTCACTTGGAAGGCGTCTATCTGAGATACCGAGAAAAACGCGTCCATGGCGATATTTACCCTCTACAAAGGTCCGTTTTTCTACTTTGACGCCTGTTTGGACGCGTTATATGTTTAAACACCTGGGCCGACGAACGATCTTGGATGCGAACGTTGTTGTTGCAATCTTCTTCTTTGACCATGGCAGGGTACCTTGGCCCTGTACTCGCCGCCCGGCACGAGTTCCTAACATGGCAGCCGGCGTTCTTGGCCGCCGCCAGCATGCGCGGGCTCGACGCGTACTTTACGACACCCAACTACCGCGACGGGACCCTCGCCGGTCGCATCTCGGTCGCTCAGATGGACGCCTTTCAAGTGACAGCCGATGCGAGCATTCTCGAGGTGTCGCCCGACCTTCGTCGCTCCGAGCGCCGCAACGCCGAGCTCCGTCGCGCGTGTCTTCGGGATGAGTACGTCAAGGAGTCGGTGCGGCGCGCGTGCTCTGCGCTCCATGCCACCGAGGTGCACGCTGCAATCCAGCTGCTGCTCGCTGCTGTCGACGACGCGATCTTCAACGAGTTGCTGCACGGGGCCAGCGGACCGTACGACATGTGGGCTCGACTTTGTGCCCATGGTTGCAGCCCGGAGAGTCTTGCAGTCGGCCTCGGTACCATGCTTGCACTGCGCTACGAGGACCGCGAAGCGCCGCTGGCCTTTTTGCGCGCTTGGAGGCGGCGACGGAGCAGTACGCACAGTCCCTTCTCTGGCGGTCGTTTGCCAAAGCCCACTGCAGCGCTGACCCGAGCTTCGACGCTGCCGTGCTGGACTTGACCAAGATCCTGATGCTCGCACGCGCATGGCCCGTCGACGTGACGAGCTCGTTCGAGCAGACCAAGCCTCTCTCGTACGAGCTGCTCAAGCAGCAAATGATGGCGCACCTTGAGGGCGAGTATTGCTTCTACTGCCACTCCAAGGCGCATGCCGACGCCGTGTGCCACCGCCTTGCGCAGGCGCGTCACAGGAGCCGCGTGCGGGCCGGGTACATGCTGCCCAGCGACACGAGATATCCGTCGCTGAGCGACGGTCCGTACCTTCAAATGTCGACGCGCCGCTTCTGCACAGCCTGCCAGTCGACACGCCACGAAGAAGGTCACTGCCCTCGCAGCGACACACTGCTGGAGGCAGCCCACCACGGGTCGGCGATGAAAGCCGAAGACGGCGGCGTCTTGCACGAAGACAACAGCAGCGAGCACGACGTGCAAGACAATACGGCTGCTGCCCGACCACCAGCTGTACACGACCGAACGCTGTCGTCCGAGAGCACTTGGTACGAGGAGCCGGTGCTGACAGACATGGCAACCTTCCCGCAATGGAAAGCCGCGTTCCTCGCGCGCGCCGACTCGCACTTCTACGTCGAGTTCTACACAATGGCCGACGCGGAGGCCGACCACAAGCTCGTCACTCCCGCCGAGCTGCGCGAGATGAACGCAAGTGCTCTGGCCGCCGAGCCGTCTCTGCCGCCTCGGGCAACGATCGCCGACCACGACATGCGTACACGTCAACGCCTTCGCCACGTGCACGGACTGTTGCAAGCGAAACGAGCCGCCAACACAAGCGCGGTCAGCCACGAGGCCGCGGCGTACCTTCGATCTGCCGTCGACGCATCGCTCCACGGCCTCTTTGCCGACGATGCGTCGCCCTTCGACATGTGGCAAAACCTCGTCGGCAGCTACTGCGTCAGCAACCACGGCAGTAAAACGGCGTTGCTCGAGCACTTGGCAGCGATGACGTACTCACCAAAGTGCAATGTCGCGCTCTTCCTTGAGCGGCTCGAGGCGGCTGTCGCACGCTACGCTGCGCTCGCGCTTCCACCGGCGTCGAGCACGCGCGCCGCGCTGTATGCGAGCGTCGTGGATGGCCTCCAGACGTCCTTCTTGGTGCGCGCGTTGCAGAGCCACTTGAGCGGCGACCTTGCCGCGTGGCTCGTCGATGTGCCCACCGGTAACTTTGCGTACTTGAAGTGCTGCCTCCTCACACACGCCACGACACGTGATCGGTCTCTGCTCGACACACGCGCCAACGACTTGGAAGAGGATGCCATTTTGTTGCCTCCGGCAGCTACGGCGCTGGCGGCCGCGTATGGCTCGACGACGCAGGAAGACGCTTTGAAAGCCAAGAATCCGCACCCAGAGAGTGGCCGTCTGGTCGGTCCAGCGATGCAACTTGAAGATGCCGACGCGACGACGTCACAGAATCCGCCACCCGCGATGACCCCGCCTCTGCGTGGTGCGTGCGCATCGAGCCCATTTGAAGCGCACGTACAAGCAATCGAGATTGACCGTGATCCGCCCATCACCCCAGCTAGTACTCCTCCGACGACAATGTACGACACGATCTCGATCCGGCGATCTGGTCGAGCATAACGAATCGCGTAGCCACATCACGTGCACGTACTGCCGTGGGTTCTATCACGTCGACGCGGTGTGCAAGCGCTTGGCGCTGGCGGTGCGCGACAAGATTGTTCGCAGCGGGTATACCCTCCCGGACGGCGTGGCGTTTCCAGTGTATACCAGTGACAGCCTCGTCGAGGAAGATCGCCGCTTCTGCACCTACTGCCAGTCCACACGCCACTTTGACATGAAGTGCAAGGAGCGCGCCAAGGACAAGAAAACAAAGTGCTTGCGTCGTGGCTACGTGGCGCCGACCAAAGCCGGACCGCCGCTCGCCCCACCGGCGCAGACGACAACGAAGACAGCCAGAAAGCGCCAACGCGCCGGCAGCGGCCCCGACGACGAGACGTGCAACGAGTAGAGCTGTGCTAAGACGCAGGATACACGTCCTACTGACCGCGCTTGCATAGAGCGTGGTCGACCGAGGAGACGGCGGCGCTCGAACGCTTGGTCCAGACGCACGGACGGGACTGGGACTGCGTGCTAACTGCGGGCCATCAAGACAAGACGCTCTCTCCGAGCCGCACGACACGCAGTGTCCGGGTACGGTCCCGACCTCGTTTCTTGCATGCATGCTGCTGATGTCTCTGCCTAGACCCGTGTGCGCTGGCTCGACGAGCAGCGACGCCGGTCGGTCGCGGACGCTGGCGACGTGGATACCTGTAGCTACAACGTACCCCACGTGATTGTTTAATGCATTGTCTTCCTAGCTTCCTCTAAGTAGCACCTTGTGCAGGTGGCACGCCACGCGCGAGGTGCGATGACGTGGCGGCGGAGGCGGCGGGCATCCGGATACGGGACCAACCTGGTTCGTCCGGATGCGACGCAAGATCGCAAAATGGAACGCCAGCCGTACACGGGCCCGCGGCTCGGGAGCTGGTCGGCCTTTCCGCAGTGGAAGGCGGGCTTCATGGCCGCGATGGCGTCCGTGCATCTCTCGCAGTACTTCCTCAAGCCGCAGTTCGAGGACCTGCTGCTCGTGTCGCCGGCGCTCGTGCAACGCCTCCGCGACGAGGCCGAGCGCGCCGAGCCCATCGTGGCTCCGATGTTGAATGGGACCAAACGCGAGATGGCGACGCACGATCGGATGCTGCGCGTGCATGCGCGACTCGAGGAAGCGATCCAGAATGAAGTCGCCTGCCACCGCGCCGAAGCAGAGCACCGCGCGCGGCTGTATTTGATCTCGGCACTCGACACCGCCCTCGTCGACATCATGCAGGCCGCGCCGACCGTGTTCGACGCGTGGCTCTTCTTACACGTGAAGAGCCTCATGCCAAACTTGACACAGCAAGTCCACGACGTTTCCGAGCTGCTAGAACGCAGCACCGACGACGTTGCACCCCTTGAAGGGCCCATGGACAAGTCTCTGCAGGACCTTTTGGCGATGCGCGGGGCGGCAGATTCCAATGCCTGGTTTCACGCTATCGTCAATCGACTCAAGGTGACGCTCTCGACCCACGCGGGTGCCGACGACACGTCATGCATCCACGCCCCGTCCTTTCTGCCTTCTCACACCTTTGAGCGCATGCCGCGTGCTGCCCATGCACCGCCAGGTGCCAGCTTGATGCGTCACCCGCTACAGCCTCTTGGGAGCCCACTGCGCTTGCAGCGATACCGTACGCTGCGAACCTCGCCGGCCGTCGGGAACGCGCGAGCCAGCTCCAAGAAGGAGTCACCGCAACACAGCTTTCTTCACGTCCCCGCCAAGCTCCTGCACTACAAGACCCAGATCGAGAACGTTGTCGAGGTGGCGAACCTGACGGCGTAAGACTGTCTCGGAGGACCACTACGACCGCGATTGACTCTGGTGCGTAGACGCATCGCGTGGTCGCCCAAAGAACCAAGGCGCTCACCAAGCTCATGGCCGCGCACGGCCACAACTGGGCCGCAATCTTGGCCGAGGGTCATGCGACAAAGGTGCTCCTGCCGTGCCGAACGAGCAAGTCTCTCCAGGTAATACTCCGCGGCCAAATGATAATGCTCGATGAGGATCCAAGATTGACGTCTCTTGATAGAAGAAATTTTATCGCATGACGCGCCACGGAGCCAGCTAAGCGCCGCGCATCGATATGGCTTCATTTAACACGCACGCTTTGGCCTGCCGATGTTAAAGTCGTGCATGTTTATCTTGATTCTGGGAGGGTCAACCCCTTACTACTACACGTAGTACTACGGAAAACCTAACCGTGCCAGGGTCGGTCATCAAGTAAACCCATTAAAACGTCGAGGCATGGAAACGCCTGCAGGTAAAACAGGTAAAACGCGTTCAAACAGATGGCGCTTGTCCTATTGGTTGGAAGCGAAACAAGATCCGCATGATTGCGTATGCTGGGCCGCGGCTTGGCGACGCGGCCGAGATCGCCGCCTGGACGACGCAGTTTCTGGACGCAGCGGCGGCCATTGGCCTCGACAAGTACTTTACCATCGGCGACTACACCGACGCGAGCGCGGCGCTGCGTGTGTCGCAGGCCAAGCACCACCTCATCGCGAGCAAGGCCGAGGCGATGGAGCCCGAGGTGCCATCGGGTCTCTCGGCGTCCGCCCACAGGCATGCGACGCAGGTCCGACGCACCCGCGTCCAGGACCGCATTGACGCGGCGCTGGCCAAGGAGGCGCTCGCGATCGGTGCGCGCGACCGGCGGGCTGCCGAGCGCTACCTTCTCTCCGCCGTCGACCCGCGCTGGCACGCAACGCTCAAGGCCGAGTGCGGTCCGTACGCCAAGTGGAAACGCCTCCTCGCAATGCGTAGCACGACGTCGCCTCATATCCCGGCGCTCCTCGACGCCATGAGCATCACGATGCATACTGATGAGGACTGGGGCACCTTCTCGCGCCGCTTGAACGGTCCCGTGACCACATACATCGACAGCATCATCGCCGCAGGCGTCGCCGCCGCCCAAGACGACGCGGAAGCCATTGCCTACAGTCGCAGCGTCGGCGACAAGCTCCGGTGCATGCTGTTGGCGCACGCGATGCCTCCTGGGATGCTGGACGATAGCTACCACAACACCGTGCAGTGGAGCTACGAGTCATTCCAGCAGGACCTACAAGCACAATGGACAAGTCGTACCGAAACGCGGGACGAAGACGACGAGAACGCGCTTCTCTATGGTGGCGGCGCGTATTCCTCGACCGACGACGCCGATGGCCGAGATGCGACCACCGTCGTCGTCCACGACACGGAGGACGAACCCATGTCGAATGACGCAGCATCGTCACCGCGCGACTCCCCGACGCACCGACGCGCCAAGAAGCAGAAGAAGAAGAAGAAGAAGAAGACGGCCAAGCTCTACTGCACATACTGTCACTCGAAGAAGCACTCGGACGCGAGCTGCTTCTACCTCGCGATCGCGTACCGCGACAAGATTGTGCGCGAGGGGTACACGCGTCCGCATGGCGTGCCGATCCCGCAGCTCTCAGACGACCTCGTCGAGAGCAAGCGACGCTTCTGCACCTACTGCCACAGCACCAAGCACAACGACATCGCCTGCCCCCAGCTCTTCGACGACGTGCACAGCGGCAGTGTCCGGACCGGGTACGCGGATCCGGACGGGCAGCTCATGCCGACGCCTGCACGTGTCAAGGCCGACGAGAGCGAGCAGACGCCCGACACCATTGAGCCCAAGAAGGAGCTTATCGCTGCTAGCTTGGTCCCGCCAACTGCCCAAGACGAAATGACCGAGGACGTTGAGCCGAGCGAGGATGACCACCAAGCGAATGTCGCGATGGACGTAGAGGAGGAGGACGATGAGGATGATGAGGATGATGACGTCGTCATCACGCATGTGCTGGAAGCAAGGTCGTCATCTCTCGTTTGAGCATACGAGATCGAATCGTGCTCACCGGAGGTTGTGTAGAAGCAACAAATGGAGTGCGGCCGAGTGCCTCCATCTCGTCGCGCTTGTGGACGAGCTCGGCTCGGCTTGGGGCACCGTCGTCTCAAGAGGCATCACCGAGAAGACGCTGCTACCATCACGGACCCCTTGCGCTGTGAGGGTACCCACACCGTCGATGCCCAAGAGCTTGGTTCCATACAGTTGATATAGGATCAGTATGCAAGGCTCGTCCAGCGTGGCCTCGCCAAGAAGGCAGCCGCCGCGCGGCCCGCCACGCGCGGCGGGAAGTTTACGCCGGCGGAACTTGCCTTTCTGCGCACAACGTATGCCAAGTACGGCAACCGATTCGGCGCCATTCACAGCAACGGCCAAGCGCAAGGCCTCTTTGTATCGCGCACCGTCGCCGATATCAAGGTAGTACATACCAGCCCCTCCTGCAACGCCTTCCTAACACCAACTGACGACGGATCGCTTAGAACAAGATCTACCGCAAACGAGCTGCGTGGGCCGCCACCGAATACTTGACGTCCTCCGAGTAACACACGTCAATTCGCATGCTACTTTATCTGCCGCTCAGTTCTGATGGCAGTTCTTGGTCGCATCTCCAGCATCCCCTCAAGGACCGGCTTGTTTATTCGCATGTCCGCCTCGTGATGGGCTCGTTGCGGCTGCTGCTGGCAGAGGCACTATTAATATTTAGATTTAGCCCTAGTGCTCTACAACGACAACGTACGACACAGCAAGACCTTGTACCACGTCGTTTCAGGCAGGTCATCATCGGCCATCGCGTGCAGGACGCCACGTGTGCGCGGGGCAAACCTCTATAAATAAATAGTGAAAATGCATTTGTAGAGGTCGTAGGCTGACGAAGTGGGCGTGTTGTTGGGATTCTTATCGGCGGTGGACGGACGACCATCATGGTGCTCAGCGCGGTCTTCGTGACGGACCTCAAGGGCAAGATCATCATCAGCCGCAACTACCGCGGAGACATCCCGATGGCCATCGCGGAGAAGTTCACGCAGTACGTCACCGAGAAGGACGACGCCGAGCAGCGGCCGGTGTTCACGCACGACGAGTCGGGCGTCACGTTTGTGTACATCAAGGTACCGTCGCCGCCGCAATCGCGTCCTCGATGGCTCATGGCGCATGTAGTTTAACAATTTGTACCTCATGACGGTCACCAAGGTCAACTCGAACGTCGCGCTCATGCTCATGTACCTCAACCGCATCTGCCAAGTGTTCCAGGACTACTTTGGCGAGCTCGAAGAGGAGAGCATTCGCGACAACTTTGTCATTATCTTTGAGCTTCTCGACGAGACGATCGACCATGGGTACCCACAGACCACCGAGGCGCGCATTCTCCGGGAGTACATCACGCAGGAAGGCCACCGCATGGAGGCCGCGCCGCGCCCGCCGACCGCGCTCACGAACGCCGTCTCGTGGCGCTCGGAGGGCATCAAGCACCGCAAGAACGAGATCTTCCTCGACGTGGTCGAGAAGCTCAACCTCCTCGTCGCTTCGAACGGCACGGTGCTGCACTCGGAGATCCTGGGCGCGGTCAAAATGAAGTCGTTCCTGAGTGGCATGCCCGAGCTCAAGCTCGGGCTCAACGACAAGATGCTCTTTGAAGCCACGGGGCGCTCGACGACATCTTCGAAAGGCAAGGCCGTCGAGATGGAGGACATCAAGTTCCACCAATGCGTCCGCCTGGCGCGCTTCGAGACCGACCGCACGATCTCGTTCATTCCGCCGGACGGCGAGTTTGACTTGATGACGTACCGCCTCAACACGCACGTCAAGCCGCTCATTTGGGTCGAGGCCGTCGTCGAGCCCCACTCGCGCAGCCGCATCGAGTACATGATCAAGACGAAGAGCCAATTCAAGAGCCGGAGTATCGCCAACAACGTCGAGATTGTGATCCCGGTCCCGCCGGATGTCGACAGTCCGTCCTTCAAGTGCTCGATTGGCAGCGTCACGTACGTGCCCGACCGCGACGCGATCGTCTGGACCATCAAGCAGTTTAACGGGTCGCGCGAGTATGCGATGCGCGCGCACTTTGGCCTCCCGTCGATCACCAACTCCAACACGGTACGTCCGCCTTAGCGTTAAGCCCTCGCAGACCCGCGGTCGTAGGCGACGAGCGACGAGTGGAAGGCGCCGATCCAAGTCAAGTTTGAGATCCCGTACTTTACCGTCTCGGGCATCCAGGTCCGGTACCTCAAGATCATTGAAAAGTCGGGCTACCAGGCGCTGCCGTGGGTGCGCTACATTACGCAGAACGGCGACTACCAGCTGCGCATGTCCTAGTTCGTTCACTAAAACAAGACTGACTGCATACGAAACCATACGTGTTGTTGCCTCAAGTCACTTCGTGCCCGAGCACGACGGCCTTGGGACGCGGCGAGACGCAGTAGTACGCGGCGTGCCGAGGCGAGACGCCCCGCGGCGACAAGCGGCTGTTTTGGCGGTACCGGTGCGCTTGCAGCTGCCCGTCCGTGGCATTGTCCATGCCGAAGAAGCTGCGGATCTCATCCGCGATCGGACACGACCCGCGGCCGTTCTGGAGGCAGCGCGCGTGGAGGTTCAGTAGCTTGGTCGCAAACGTCTCGAGGAGGTCGCGGCGCTCGCGGAGCACGTGCGGCGACGTCAGCGCAAACGGACGTCGCGACGGAAATTCAAACTCGAGCAGCGACAGCAGCGGGTCTTGCGGGCTCGGGCACGGCGCCTTGTGCGTGAGGCTGCGCAGACGGTTGCGGAAGGCGCGGACGGCCGAGTACCGCGCGACGAGCCGCCAGGGTGCGTGGCCGTGAAAGGCGACGAGGAAGACGTACCGCGTCGGCGTCCCGCTGAGCACTTGGACGGCAACAGCAAAGAGATGGGGCGCAGGCTCCTCGAGCGCGTCGGCCAGCGACAGTCGGTGCGGCCCGCTCATCGCCAAGTGAGCAAGACGGTATCTTTCTGAACGGCCGCAGCTTATTCTCGCCTGGCAGGTGTAGGTCGCCGCCGAACATCCAAGTCGGCCGTTCCAACGGCGCGCCGGCAGTTGGCGCCGTTGACGCCGCTCAGTCCGTGCGCGCTGGGCGCCGCGTCGCAGTGACGAAGGACGCCATCGACGTCGATCGTCTGGACGTGCCACGTCACGCAGTTTGCTGTATTCCAGTACCCAGTGTATTAGTTGCAACAGTACTGGGGGACAGTAAAAGTAAGAAAAGAAATATCGTATGTTACGGGTAATGCATTCTAAGATCTTAGTAGAGCCGGCACGAAGCACGAGCGACACGGACGCAAGGGCACAGATTGCTCGTCTCGTGCACGAGGCTGCGTCGCAATTGAGAGCCGCACGCCCCACGACGCATCCCAGCCGCGTCCGAGGAGCTTACAACGAGAAGGCATCAATGCAGTCAGGGAACCTTGGGACCCGAGTCGCAAAGCCACGTTTCCTTGCACATGAGGACCCAAATCCAAGGGAGATGCGGCAGTTCACTCCCACACGCTCTCGTCCCGCTCGTCGAATAACGCGGGACGATGGTCTCGTCCGCCTGAAATGCGGATTGAGGAGTGTTGAAGTGGCGACCACATGCGGTAAGCTGTTGGGGCGTGCGCTCCAAACGGCAGGTGCCACCTCGCGTGCGATTCCGAGGACAAGACCCACGCTGGCAAGATACGACCGATTGATGCAGTCCCTCTTGCGCCGCAAGTTCGGCTGGCATCATCAAGGCTGCACTAGAGTCCGCTTGCATCGCCCGCCCATAATGACGCCGTCGAGCTCGACCTCCTCGATTTGCACGAGGCCCAAGGCGTCAACGTGCTCCGAGCCGTGCAGCCCACGCTGTCGACGCGCACAGCCGCCGTGCATGGCCACGACGGCAAGGAGGCCGCAACCATATGACGGCCGCCGCGGGCCTTTGTGAAAAGCACCTGTTTCTCGCGTGTCCTGGTCGGCGAGTGCCACGTCGGTTCGGCAGCCGGCGCCAGCTCGCAGTGGCACGGACGCGTCATGTTCGCCCGCAGCGCCTCTCGCACCTCAGCGCCACCTCGAGGCTCGAGTCCCATGGACCTACGAGCGTCTCGACCGGCCGAGGCGAGCATGCTGCTTGGCGCCGTGTCGGCGGCGATCGAGGCCGTCCGGTCGTGTGTGACAGCGAGTAACGAAAGTCGTTATCCGGATAGCAGCCATTTTGAGGCAGCATTCTACTCTTTGATTGTGGCTGATTCCAAGAGAAGAAGGTAGGGTGCCATGACGCCACCCTGGCTCGACGCTCATCATGCTGCATGTAGCAGACAAAGGCGACCGTGTTCCCTTCGTATACCTCTTCCTCCTCCTCCGACGACGACTCCTGCATGAGTGCCATCGACAAGGAGGATGACAAGCGCCCCTCGGACGACGACACAACGACGTCGACGTCCCCCGATGTAGCGGCGATCGAGGACGTGCTCCAGCTGCGCATCACGACGACACACGCCGGACCGAACGGCCCTTTGTCGACAAGCTCGACGTCGGCCATGTCGCAGCCCACATCGGCAAGCTCGTCGCCTGACAGCACGGCGTCCACCGCCCACGCCGCCGACTTCGACACGACGCCGCCCGCGCCGCTCCCGACCGTGGGCTCTCTCAAGCGCACGAACAGCGCACAGGAAGCACCCACGTCGTCGGGACTTACGCCGCCGACGCTCAACCGATCCAAGACCACGATCGATGGGCCGCAGACGTCGCCGCAGACGTCGCCGGCACTACAGCCGTCGACGTCGGCCACGACACCAACGTCCGCGTCGTACTCGAGCTCGACGCTCCAGAACCAAGTCGAGATTTCGTCCGTGGCGCTGCCGCCAGATGCGATCAAGGAGGTCGAGGAAGACAAGCACTCGCACACGGTCTTCTCGCTCGAGGTGCGTCTCTCGAGCGGCCTTCGCTGGATCATTGAGAAGCGGTACTCGGACTTTCGCGAGTTTCACGAGCGCATGAAGAAGGCGAATCCAGCCGTGCGCACCCTCGCGTTCCCCAAGCGGCAGATCTTCCGCAGCAAGAGCTCGGCCGTGATCGAGCAGCGCCGAAGCGACCTGGAGAAGTACCTCAAGGACATCCTCGGCGTGACGCCGCTCATGAAGGTGCCCATCTACAACTTTCTCTCGGTCTACGCGCACCTCGAGAGCTATGACCGGAAGAAGCGCCGGCAGCAAAGGAAATCGACCTCCAGCGCATGAAGAACCTCCTCCCGTCCGACGAACTCGAGGACATCCAAGCGGCGTTTACTCGTCTCTGCTCGAGCAAGCACTTTGCGTCGTCGTCCGACGAGAGCAGCGACAAGCCGACCGAGCCTCCGTCGCCCGCGCCGACGTCGGCGCCGTCGCTACTGGTGACAGGCCCGCTCTCGACGCAAGGCTCGATGCTGCAGCTGCTCGAGCCGAAAGAGAACGTCTCGATCAACAAGACGGCGTTCCGGCGCGACGTGCTCAGCGTCTTTCCTGACATGCCCTCCACGTTTGCGATGCGTCTGCTCAAGGGCATCTCGGACAAGCAGCACAGCGACATTTGCATGGACGAGTTTGTGCGCGCGATTGCGATCCTTCGCCACGGGTCGGTCGAGGACCAGCTCGCCTTTGCGTACCAGATGTGCGACCACGACCACATGGGGAAGCTCCAGAGCACGGGTCTTGGCAACCTCTTGATCTGCGTGTACGGCCGGACGCTGGCCGACAAGCCCGAGTACAAGCGTCTTTTGAACGACGTGTTTGACTATGGCCGCGTGCGTCTCGGCTTGCCCGAGTTTGTATCTGAAATCCAAAAGCAGCCGCTCGCCACGCTCTTGATCGAGTGGATGCCACGCTTCATGGACGTGCTCTGCGAGTCGGCCGACCCCAAGCTGCTCGAGCTCCAAGAAGAGTACAACCCCGTCGTGCAGCAAAAGATCCTCGAGGCCGAGACGCTCTTCAGCAGCAAGGAAATCGGCTTGTTGCAAGAAGCGTTCCATGCGTACCGGTCGTCGTCGCCGGACGAGACCATCGATGTCGAAGCGCTGGCGACGGATTTCCCGCTCGACATGTCGGACGCGCGCCTCCTCACGCTGTTCGCGTCGTTTGGGCCGCGCGCCAACGGCGTCGACGTGGACGTCTTCTCGTTCGTCCACGCGCTCTCGATCGCTTGCCGCGGGTCGGCCGACGCCAAGATGCACTTTGGCTTTACCGTCTTTGCGTCCGAGTCGACGCTCAACCACGAAGACCTCTTTGCGATGCTGCAGCTCGAAGTCCTCCAGCACACGTCCATGGCGAGTACGATCGAGCATTACATGCAGACCGAGGCGACCGAGAGTGCCCGGCGCGACGTGCTCTCAAGTGCGCAGCTCGGGCAGTACGTCGACCACATCCTCGAGGCCTTTGGCGCCAATGGCGAGCTGACGCGGGACCAGTTTTGTGCGTGGTCGACCGCGGTGCAGTTTCGCATCGCGGCTCTCGACCGCATCAAGCAAACCGTGTTTGTCCAGCTGGGTGTGATCCCGATGCACAAGCAAGAGGAAATTGAGGTCGCCAAGCTCTGCTACCGCGAGTACAATCCCGCCGAGCTCGTTGAAGACGATCACTGGTACATTCTCGAGCAGAGCTGGTACGACCACTGGCGCAAGTACGTCGGGTTTGTGCCCATGGCGGCGCTGCGTGGCAACCCGGCGGCGCCCAAGAGCAGCGCCGTTGTCGTCGCGTCGAGTCTGGCGAAACCCGCGAGCGCGCTGGGGTCGCCCGCCAGCAACAAGACCGGTCTTCTCGCCAAGCACGCGGTCAAGACGCCGCCGCCGGTCTCGGCGCCAAAGGACGAGACGCCGAGCTCGATTCTGGACTCGGACAAGAACGTGATCCGGCCCAAGTACATTGCGAACGCGACGCTACTCAACAAGAAAAACTCTTTGCGCCGAACGACGAGACGCTCATTGGGAAGCACTTTGTCGTTGTGCACGAGCAGCTCTGGCTCGGCCTCAAGCAGTGGTACGGCGGCGGCCCCGAGATCAAGAAGACGGTCATCGTGCTCTCGAATGGCCAGACAACGCTCAACCTCTGGAACTCGGAGGACGAGAAGGATGAGACCAAGCTTGACGAACACGCGCTCGCGCTTGCGACGACGCAGCCGCTGAGTGCGACGAGCCTCACGAAGCGTGTGCGGGCCGGCGCCTCGGTGGGTCTCGTCAACCTCGGCAACACGTGCTACATGAACTCGGCGCTGCAGTGCATTGGCAACACGCCGCTGCTCATTGACTACTTTCTCTCGGGCATGTACATCCACGACATCAACCGCACGTCGACGTTGGGCATGCAAGGCAAGCTCGCCGAAGTGTACGGCAAGCTCGCCGAAGACATGTGGAGTGCCAAGTACAAGTCGATCTCGCCGCGCGAATTCAAAAAGACGATTGGCAAGTTTAACGAAGCCTTCCGCGGCAGCGACCAGCAAGACGCGCAGGAGCTCATTGCGTTCCTTCTCTCGGGCCTCAGCGAAGACCTCAACCGGATTCTGGACAAGCCGTACATTGAGCACCCGGACAGCGACGGCCGCTTCGACTCGGACCTCGCGGACGAGTGGTGGCGCAACTCGCTCAAGCGCGAGGTCTCGATCATCGTCGCGCTCTTCACGGGCCAGTACAAGTCGCTCCTCACGTGCTCGCAGTGCGGCTACAAGTCGGCGCGCTTTGAGCCGTTCACGTTCCTCCAGCTGCCGCTGCCGGAACCAACACACAACAACGTGACGATTCGGCTCGCGTTCGCGGCCGCCCGCATGCCGCTCAAGCTCTCGCTGCGCCTTCCGATTGACGCAACCGTCTTTGACCTGAAGAAGCAGCTCGCGGATCTCTGCGTCACCGAGTTTGATTTGCCGACGACGACGATCGCCGACATCAAGATCTGCGAGTTCCAGGGCTCGCTCATCTTGGGCTTCAAGGCCGACACGCGCAAGCTCGCCCAGATCCGGAGCATCGACCGGCTGCTTGCCTTCCAGCTCGAGCCGCTCGCGCCGCGCGTGATGGACATGACGCGGTCTCGTCGGCCATCGATTTTGGCAGAAATGCCGTCGGGGCAGCCGACGTCGTCGACGACCGACGGCCCCGTGTACGTGACCGAGGGCTCGCTCATCGAGGTGCAGCACAAGGGCGAGTACCTACCGGCGACGATTCTCAGCATTGACACGCCCGAGTTTGTGCGCGTGCAGTACCGGTCGGGTGAGATCGAGGCCGACGTGCCGCACTCGCGTCTGCGCCAGCGGCCACCGCGTCTCCTCTACTGCCCTGTCGTCTCGCGCAAGCTCGGGTACTCGCCTGTGTACTTTAAGAACCCGTTCCGGCCCGTGCCGTTCGGGACGCCCGACCTCGTGCGTCTCTGCCCCGAGGTGACCACCGGCATTGCTTTGTACACGATGGTGTGGCAGCGCGTGCAGCGGTACCTCAAGAAGGATCTGTCGCCGCCGCAAGAAGTGGCCGCCACGACCAACGAGATTGTGGTGTGCGACTCGATTGACGCGGTCTTTTGCCACAAGGACGTCCCACACGGGTTTGTGCTCCGGCGCGTCGACGCCAAGGGTCTCACCGACACGCGCACGCCGTGGCTCGCTCGCAGCTTTGGGTCGACGATCCCGTGCACGGACCAGATGGTGGACCTCCTCGAGGACGAGACGATTGCGATCGATTGGGACGTCCAAGTGCTCCAGGTCGGCGCATTGGCTTTGGTGTTGATGGTGCGAATGATGATAATAGGACCATGTCGATATGGACCTCATGAAGGGCGTCGACATGCATGCGAGCGTCGCCAAGAACAACGCGCTGGACAACGGGCCTGTGCCGCTGAGCCACTGCCTCGATGCGTTCACGTCCGAAGAGAAGATCCAAGAGGTAGTCGTCGACGTGTTGAAAGCATGTGGCGATGATGGATTCCAGGGCTACTGTTCAAGCTGTCGACAGCACCAAGAGATGACCAAGAAGCTCGAAATCTGGCGGCTCCCGCCCGTCATGGTGATCCAACTGAAGCGATTTCAGTACACGCAGACGTATCGGCGCAAGCTCGGTATGATGTCGTGTTGCTCTTGGATCTGGACCTCAATCATGTCGTTGGTTTAGCGTCGCTGGTCCAGTTTCCAGTCCACGGCCTCGACCTCTCGTCGTGCGTGGCGCCGTTTGAAGAGTTTCCGGCGCGGTACCCCGAGAAGCTTCCGTCTGGCGACGCGTCGGCGACCGCCGCCGATCCTGCCGACGCCAGCAGTGACGCGACCGACGTGGCGCAAAACAGAATACGCCGGGGGTACACCAACACGAACCTCGAGCAGTCGCGCTGCCTCGAGACGCACTACGACATGTACGGTGTCGTGAACCACCAAGGCGCGCTCGGCGGCGGCCACTACACGGCGTACGCCAAGAACTCGGTCGACGGCAACTGGTACTCGTACGACGACGACCGCGTCCGGCTCATTGAAGAGAGCAAAGTGGTCACGTCGTCGGCCTACTTGTGCTTTTACGTGCGGAAAGATATGGACGACCTCAGCGTCGACACGATCTTCCCGCCCAAGAAGGACGGCAAAATCACCGAAGAAGACATCAACCGGTTTGTCGAAGAGAGCGACAAGGGCAAGTGCGCCATCATGTAAGTAGAAGACAACCGCGCTAATAATGTTATTTGTGGGTATTCATTCCATTGTCCGTACTATCGTGCCGCCAGATCCTCCCGCCACGCAACGGTAGGATTGTGTCATAAAACCGGACGCATCCGGATACGCTGCCAGTCGCTGGTCAACGAGAACACCAAGTCCGATGGCCGCTTACACGGTCGCGCAGGTCGACAAGTGCGCCTTTACGCACTGGTACCCGACCTTGGCCGCCGCCAGCGTCAAGAGCATCGCGATTGCGCTGCCCGATGTCGTCGTGTCGATGCTGCTGGCCGACAAGATTCAGTTTCGCCCAGATGACTACCCGCCACCGTTTCTCGCCGAGGTCAAGGACGCGCTCGCGGCGCTCGGCGGCAAGGTGTTTGTGAAGCTCGATTGGAGCTGCCCGAAAGACGCCAAGTGGATCCTTGGCAACTCGCTCGCGTGCACATGCTTGGAGGACATGATCCTCGCGCTCAAGGCCAGCGACTTCGTCTTGCACGACCTCACGGCCGCGTACGACGGGTGCATCGACGTCTCGGACGACCGTCGCCGCCCCGAGACGTTCCATCTCGTGCTCAAAAGTGGGCCAACTTTTACGACTCGATGCACTTTCGGTGCTTTGTCAAGCACCGGTCGCTGGTCGGGATCTCCCAGCGCAACTGCGGCGACTACTATGCGTTTCTGACCGACGACAGGACGCAAGACGAGCTCTGCAACGCGATCGGCGCCTTCTACACCCGCCACTTGCTGCACGCCGACGTCGTCGACGCGAGCTACGTCTTTGACGTGTACGTCGACAAGTCGCACCGCGTCTTCCTCCTCGACATCAACGTCTTTGGCGCTGTGACCGACCCGCTCCTCTTCACTTGGGACGAGCTCGCAACGGAGGACAACGAGACCGACGACATCGACTTTCGCGTCGTAAGCTCCGAGACTGCGATCGTCCCGGACGCGTACTCGCAGTACAAGGTACCCGTCGACCTCGTCGACCATTTGGCAACACCCGGCGGCTTTGATGATTTCTTGCGCCAAGTCGCCAAAGACAACGCCAAGGGCAACGACGACAACGACGACGACGACAACGACGACGATGATGATGATGATGATGATGATGATGATGGCATCGAGTGGAGCTCGTAGCGTGCGAGAAATCATAAGGAAATACAACATGCATTCAAGGACCTTTGTCGTGCTTTCATCGTGGCCTAGCCAAAGCCAAAGCCTTCCGAGCCTTCGCGGATCGCGAGGAGGAGGCGCGCCTTGAGCTGCTCTTCGTTCTCGTACTCAGGCAAATCCAGCTGGTTGAAACTACAGAAACCGCATGAGCCATCAACCAAGACACAAGACGATGGCAGCCTACCACGTGTGCGCGGTCGGGAGCGTGTTGCTCGGGCCAAACGCCTTGTGGATGTTGAACTTTTGCGTTCCTCGCATGCCCTCGAGCGCCTTGAAGCCTTCGAGGGGCACCTTGGACGTGCCCGTGACAAACTGCAGAAAGAGCGCGCGCTCTTCGTGGCTGAACGAGTAGAGCACGTTCCAGAACCACCGGATGACAGGGTCCGTCGGCTTGAAGTTGGCATAGTCCGTGTTGGCCTTGAGGTCGTCAATGTCAATCTCCGGCATGCCCGAAATGAGCAGCTCGAGTTCGTTCTCGTTGAAGATCGAAATCAACTGCGGCGACACGAGCTGGTGCAGGCCCGATAGGAACGCGTCGATTTGCGCGCGGATGCCCGTCGCCATGCGGTGGTGCGTCACGAGCTTGACGTACTCCATCTTGTTGACGTCCGTGACCTGGACGTGGCGGCCGTTCGGAATCAAGTCGACAATGTCGAGCTTCCCAAAGTTCGAGTGCTCGAGCGAAAACGTGAGGTCCAAACAGAGGTCCGCGATCGGGTTGTCGAGGAGCGCGTGCAGGTTGCGGTAGTACTCGGGGTCGATCGCCTCCATGTCGCTGTACGACAGCGGCAGCTGCAAAATGTGCTTGTAAAACGAGCGCGTAAAGTGCGCATCGAGCAGCTGGCCGTCCGCGATCGCCTTGCCAATGACCTTGCCGACAAACTCAAAGTAGATGAGGTGATCCTTGTTGACGTACGAAAGCGGGTTGGGCTGGAACGTCGGCGAGTCGGCGGCCGACGTAAACAGCGCGTAGTTCGGGTTGAAGATCTCGCGCGCGAGGATCATGTACCACTCGCGCGTGACGCCGCCCGCGTCAATGCCCTCTTCGCCCGTAAACGAAATGTGCAGCTTCCGCCGCAGCTCGGCGCCGCTTCGCATGCGCAGCGCGTAGAACGAGTCTTCAAAGACGCGGTCGCGCCGCACGGGAATGCGCACCGACGAGCCGCCGCCGCCATGCCGCATCGCCGACTGCCGCAGCCGCTTCATCGCGGTTTGAAAGTACGTGCGCTTGTTATCAAAGTCCAGAAACGCCCGGCAGCGAGGAATCTTGATGAGCGCCGCGAGCGACGCGTCCAGCAGCGACGGCTTCTCGCGCACGAGCATGTTGAGCAGCACGCGGTTGGCCTCGACAAAGAGCGCGAGCCGCGTCGTGTCGCGGTCCGTCTCGAGTGGGACGGCAAGCGGCGCTTCGACCGCCTTGGCCTCCGACCCGTCATCAGTGGCCGTCAGAGACAGCATCGCGGCCTCGCGCTCCGACATGGCCGACTCGACCGGCGCCTCGAGCGTCATGCTGGCCGCGTCACGGGCGTTCACGACAAAGAACGCTTCAATCATGGGCAAAAAACGCGTGAGGAGCGACGCCATTGCGCACGACGCACCCGCGCTCTGGCCTTCAATGACGGTCGCGTCCGTGGCCGCCTTGTCGGGCTGCTCGCCAAGGTTGTCGCGGGCCTCTTCGAGCGACCGGCTGAGGGCGTCCCAGATGCCGTCGAGACCAATGAGTCGCGTCTGCTCGGTAAACTGCTCGGTCGAGAGCGCGACATCCGAGAGCGTGTGCAGATACCGCAGCAGCTTGCGCTCGTCGCGCACGGACGCGAGGACGGCCGATGTCAGCGCCTGCGACGCCCCACTCGGCAGCAGCGGCGCCGTCGCGAGGCGCTTGGCGTGGCCCACCAGCGTCGACAGCATCGTCATTTGGTTGGCCTCGATGCACCCGAGCTGCTTCAAAATCGAAATCACTCGCGTCTGCATCGCGCCCGTGCAGAGGTCGAGGCCGAGGACACCCACGATGCGCTCCATGTGCGCAGGCGAGAGCGCAACCCGGGGCACGGGTGTCCACTCGAGCGCCTCGTCGGCCACTTCGTCCGGCTTGGTGGCGGCCTTCTCGGGGCGGAAGCGCGCGAGGGGCGCTACCGTCGCGTGCAGCACCTCGAGGAGCATGTCCAGATTCGAGGCGCTGCGGTACACAACCGGCTGCCCAAGAAAGTCGACGAGACAGACAAGGCCGACGCGCTCATCATCCTTGTCGCCCCGCAAGAGCTCGAGCACGAAGCGCGCGTTTTGCTTGGTCAGCGAGACGAGCACGGTCAGCAGCCGGGCCGCGACCTCGATCGGCAGCTTGGCCTCGGACGGCTTGAACATCGTGCAGCCCAGCAGCCCGTGCGGCGGAAACGACGATGACGACGACGACGAGCTGTCGAGCATGGCCAGCACGTTGGTTTGCAGCAGCGATCGTGTCGCCGGGTACGCACAGAGGTTGGCGACGACGCTCGCAAAGTCGCGGTGGTTCAAAATCGACTGCACCATGTACAGCAGCGTCAAAAGGCTCTGGATCGCGCGCGCGTCAATGAGACCGAGGTGCTCCACGTCGCCTTCTTCCTTCTCGAGCTGCAGCATGCCGAGGTGCGTCGCGTCTGACGAGCGCGCGAGGGCGGCGCATTGTCGTGGCGCGACCGCGGACGCCGCGCCGCGCCGCTCTCGAGAATGTCCGTGCCGTGCGTCGTGAGCATCCGGCGCAACGTCGGGCGCTGAAACATCCCGCGCGCCGCGTCGCCCGCTGACGGCTCGGACCGAAAGTTGGCGCGGAACGCGTGGCGCTCGCGGAGCACCATGGCCTCCGCGCGCACGTCCGACGGCAACGTTTGCAGAAACGCGTCGTCCGACGTGATCAGAATCTCTTCGCGGAGCTCGGGCGCGAGCGACGCGACAAACGACGCCGTGTCCATCTCTTGGGCACGCGAGACGTCGGCCGGCGCGGCCGCCTCCCGCTCGCGGCGCTCGTTGGCCAAAATCTCGTCGCGAATGTCGGCGGGGAGCGCCTCGAGTGTTTCGCGGTCGTAACTCGAGTTGGCAATGTCCATCTCGAGCTGCGATTGACCGCTTGTCGACGCCGGCGGCTCGGGTGCCTGGCTCGCAATGATCTCGGCCTGCATGTCGGGCGGAAGCGAGTTGAACACTTCCGGGTCCATGCCTGCCGGGCACACGAGGCCCGCTTCGGCTTCGTCGGTCGCGACGCTTTCGGCTGCAAGCGGCGCGGGCGGCGCAGCTTCCGCATGCGTCGGCGGTACTGGGGCCGGAGCTGTCGGCAAGTCCAGTGTGAAGCTAAAGAGCTGGTCTGACGACGTCGACGGTGCAGGCGGAGGCATTGTCGTCGATTCCAGCTGGCTCAGGCTCATCTGGATCGCGCGCGCCATTTGGTCGGCAACGCTTGTGCTCGTGTCGACAGGCTCGTCGTCGTCTTCATCGGCAGGCGCCAACGGGCTCGACGCAACACTCATCGACGCATCGGGCGGCGACTGCAGCGATGACTGCCCCAGCGTACTCGTGAGCGCAATCACGGACGCGGTCTCGGACACCGCATCGTCGGCCACGGCCGCTTCCGGCGCCGGCGCCGGCAACTCCTCCGTCGCATCGGGCACCGCATCCGCGACCACGAGGCCATTGAGCTCTTCTTCCATACGCGAGACGACCGATCGTACCACCGCGTCGTCGCGGCTCCCAAACGGGTTGGCGCCAAACTCCCAATGGTTGCTGCTGCGCGGGAAGCGCGACGCGTTCGACCGCTGGAGCTGCGGCGTCATCGAGAGCTCACTGAGCAAGTGAAAGTCGGCGCGAGACGACGGCGGGTGGCGGGACGGCGGGCGGTCGCCGGCACCGCGGCCCATGCCGCCAAACTCGTACAGCTCGGCCGCGAGCTCACCGCCCACGGCGGGCGACGCCAAGAAAGGGTGCGTCAGACCTGCGAGCGACGACGTCGAGATCGTTGGCGCTGCGCTGCGGCTGCCGCGACTGGCACCCGGCACGCCCGGCGTCGAGCGGCCCATGACTACACACATATACACATGGTTGATGAGGAGATGCGCCATTTGGGATGATGCCGTACGTCGAAAGCGCCGGCTGTCGCGGTCCAAGACGTCAAACGGCACCGTCATGACGTCCGGGTCGTCCGCGTCGTCGTCGAACTCGCGCAGCACAAACCCGGAGTCGTCGTCCGGCGTCTCACCACCGCGGTGCGTGAGGTCGTGCTCAAACTCGCGGAAGAGCTGGCTCCACGCCGCGTTGCGCGACCGGTGGTTCGACCCGAGCGACGCCGAGAAGAGGTCAAAGATCGACTGCGCTTCGTTCGCAAACGACGTTTCGTTCGAGCGCCGCGTCGCGTTCGACGCCATTGTTCGCGCGCGCTGAAGAATCGCTTGGGGCGAGTCCTCGGCGGGCGCCGCGCGCGGTGCAACCTCGTCGTCGTCGTGGAGCACTGAGAGGTCCGCGTCCAGCGAGTCCCAGAGTTGCGTCGGGTGCATCACGTCATCTTGGCGGGAGCGCGCCGGGTAGTCGGCCTCCATCATCTCCATGTCTTCGCGGTTGAGCTCGTCTTCATCGTCGTCGTCCTCGTCATCATCTCCTTCCTCTTCTTCCTCTTCTTCCTCTTCTTCCTCTTCCTCGTCATCCTCCTCGTCGTCCATGTCCTCGCCCGACATGCCATGCTCGTCGTCGCTTTCGCCGTCTCCCATCGGCACGTCGTCGGCCTCGGCGCTGCCCGACACCTCGTCCACGGTCATGCTCTCGTCCGCGGGCGCTTCGTCTACGACCTGCATCGCCTGCGTGTCTTCGACCTCAGTGCTCTTCTTGCGCGGCACTTTGCGCAGACGGTGGGCGACCCACGGCCGCGTGAACGCCGCGAGCAGTCGCAGCACCATGTTGCACGTCGTGCGCGCGAGCGGGTGCGTCAAATCAATCTTCCCGAGCGCGTCAAAGAGCACGGTCACAATGTTGGTCTTGGTCTTGAGAAGCCACTTGGCGTGCTCCCAGAGACCGCTCTTCTCCTTGACGTCGTCGCGCGGCCAAAGAATGCTCAGCATGAGCGCGCACCACGCATGGATCGAGCTCAAGGCCACGGTCCCGTTGCCGTGCGCTGCCAACGCCCACGCTTCAATGAGCTTGACGACCTCGGCGAGCACGCGCTTGGCACTCTCGCTGTTGGTGGCGCAAATACCGAGGAGGAGGCGGTGCGCATTGTGCACGCGGTCTTTCGTGAGCTCCTTGAGACGGTGGCGGTCCAGCGCCGTCTCCTCCGGCGTCGCGGCCGGCTTGCGCATAAGCTGCGTGAGGTCGCGGCACGGCAGCATCTCGGCGAGCACGAGCTGCACAAACGCCAAGTGGTCTTGCAGCAGCACGTTGGCGCACGTCGGGAAGAGCGACACGAGGTGCACGAGGTAAAACATCGGCAGCGCGCTCTCGTGCTGCTTCTGCGCGGTCCAGAGCGCCACGAGGTGGTCGACCACGAGCTTGATGACAAACGACGCGTTCGGGATCGGCAACGTGAGCAACTTTTGCGTGCCGACGAGCGTCGCGTTGCCCGCCGGCAGCACGTACAACCGACCCGACTCGCTCTTCTTGACGAGAATCGTGGCCTTGAGCGCATCGAGAAAGAGCGCTTCGTTGCGCAGCGCGACGATCCCGAGCTCCGAGAGCAGCGACCGCGGCGAAATACGCATGAGCTCGGGTGCGCCAAAGCGCGCGCTGAGCTTCTTGAGCGACTGCAGCACCTTCTCCTCCATGCGCGCCTGCAACACTTGCGGGTACTCCATCACGTGCGCGAGGAGCGCGGACGTGAGCTCCTTGTAGCCGTCAAAGCGACTCTCGAGCGCCAAACACGCTTCGACGCCGTGCCGCGTCACAAAACGGTCCGCGATCGACACGTCGCGCGTGAGCCGCACGAGCAGCTGCCACATGGCGTGGCCGACGTTGGCCGAGACGCCTTGTTGCATGAGCGCAACGCACGTGTCGAGGAGCGACTCGCGCATCGCTAGCGTCAGGACGCCTTCTTCTTGACCCAGCGCGTCGAGGACGAGGAGGACGGTCGTGAGCCCGTCGTCGGGCGACGTCGGTGTCGCCGTCTGTAGCGCGTGCAGCAGATGCGTCACGACCGACGGCGTCAAGCTCGCAAGAACTTGGCGGCTCGGCGGATCGGCGTGCAGCAGAAGGGCCAAGAGGTGCGTGCTCGGTGTCATCGCGTCCATCGCGTGCTCCAGCACAAACGCATGGATTTGCGAGAGCACGTTGCGGCGCTCGTCGTTCGACCGCTGGCACTGCACGAGGAGCAAGTCGGCCATGACCTTGACGACGACCATGCGCTGGTCACTCGGCTGGCTCTTGACGACGTCAAAGCACATGCGCTCAAGGCCGCTGCGGACGCTCGTGTAGAGCTCCGAGAGCTCGGCCGCCGCGTCGACAACCGCGGGCGTCTCGTCCACTGCCACGTTGACGTCGCCGACCTCGTTTTCGTCAAACGGGTGCGACAAGAGGTACTCCATGGCGAGCTCGACGTCGTTGAGCTGCACACGGCGCAGCGCCGTCTCCACGGCCGGGCGGCCAAATCCCATGGACGTCAGACTCTCGATGACGAGCTCGTCGGCGACAAACGCGTCGGGCTTGGGCGCTCTCGGCTTCTCGGCGACATCGAGGCGGTGCTTGAGCAGCGTGGCGACCGCGGGGAAGAGGTAGCTCAGCGACGCGTCCCACGGCAGCGTCGCGAGCTGCGCCTCTTTGGCCCAGAGCGGCACAATCGTCTTGAGCACCAGCGTGTGCAGTTGCATCTTGAGCGCATTCGGTTCAAACGGCCGCGCCGAATTCGCGTCTTGCAGCAAGGCCAAGGACGCGGTGAGCGGCGCGTTGCTGATCGCGCCGAGGTCGCTCGCGCGCTTGAGCAGCTGAAAGGCCGTCTGGAAAAACCGAAGATCTTGTTTCGAGAGCGCCGCCACGTTGTCGAGCAAGGCTAGTGCGTGCTGCGAGATCCACTGCAGCGTCGACGCCATCAGGCCCGACTCGACGACTTCTTGGAGCAACACGGTGTTGGCCGTGCGGCGCTTGCCTTCGTACAAGAGCGCGCTGAGCGTCTCGAGGTAGTAGACCCCCGCGAACGAGACCTCAAACGGCAGCGTGAGTCCGCGAACCGAGTCGAAAAGGTTCTGCAAGAGCGCGTGCAACGAATGCGAGAGCGGCAGCGCGTGGGCCGCCAGCGGACTCACGGCCTCCTCCGAGAGCCGGTGGTGCGCCGGCACGGCCAAGAACGTCCGACCATACTTTGTCACGAGGTTGCGCACCATGAGCGAAAACTTGAGCAGCAAGAGCGCGCCAATCTTCCAGAGGCCGACCGGCGCCTTCGCGACCAGCTGGCGCTCGAGCGACGTGCGTTCGCAGAGCACGCTGCGGTCGACGGCAAAGAGCTTGGCCAGCACGTTTTGGTGCTTCTCGAGCGTAAACTCGGCAAACCATCGGCGCGACTGGCTGTGCGCGTGCGCCGTGCGGAGGCTCCAGAGCAAGAGCGAGACGAGCCACTCGAGCACCGAGATGGTCCGGAGGTAGTTGCCCGCGCTGCGCACTTGCGTGTGGGCATCGAGAAAGGTCGCATCCACAGTCGCGTTGGCCAGCGGCACGTCGGCGACGGACGCAATACCAATCGTCGCCGGCAGCGCGTCCAAGTGCATGGTCATTTGCTGCAAAATCTTGGTCAGCATGGTCGTGGGCTGCTGGCCAGCGTACGCGCGCGCGGCGACCGTGAGGCCCTGCGCGGCGGGGTAGTGCGCGAGCGAAGCGTGCGACTCGTGCGACTGCGTGACGCTCGCGAGAAACGCCGACGTCGACGGCAAAATGCGACTGTAGAGCGTCAAGAGCGTGTCGACGCCACCGAGGTCGGCGAACCGCGCGGCGTGCTCGGCCTTGGCGAGGACCGTTTCGAGCACGTCGCAGACGTGCATCGTCATGCGGAGCACGGCCGTGTGCCGCGTCTCGTCGTCGGATGTCGCGTCGCTGTAGCTCTGGACTTGGGTCAGCGCGCGGACACAGGCGGTGATTGCAGGTTTCTGGAACGCAGGGACATGGCGCATGAGCTCGTCGAGGCCGCCGCCAACGATCGAGGCGACGTCGCCTTGGAGACTGTCAAAGCCGTGGTACAGCACGTAGCCCGGCATGACGAACATGTCGAGGAGGTACGTCAGTGGCTCGTACGCGACGACCTTCTCGACGTGCGTGGACGTGAGGCAGAGCGCGCTGAGGACGCTCGGAACCGCAATTACGAGCTCGGGCGACGGCGGCAGCGCGTTCGACCCGTTGGTCAAGTCCCAGCGACAGAGCGTCTTCAGAAATGCCTCCGCCAAGCCGCTGGCGTGAATATGGTTGACCGACGTCGGGTCGTTGTTGATGATGTCCGAGACGAGCGTCGCCGCCTGCGCAAAGAGCATCGAGCCGTACGCATCGACGTTCGAGAGGATCGCGAGCAGCACTTTGGCGAGCGGCGCCGTGTCGCGGATCACGCGCGACGTCGCGCCGGCGCTCATGACGCCCTGCGAGTGGAACGACACCGAGAGCATGTTGAGCAGCGTCAAGAGCAGAATCTGCTGCGTGCCGTGGACCGACTCGGCGTGCAAGTCGGCAGCAAGACGGTCGATCAAAATACCGACGCCGCTGAGGTCGCGATAGAGCGACGCGGCCGGCGCGTGGTTGGTCACGACGCACTCGAGCGCTTGGACGCACTGGACAACGACCGACGTGTGCAGCGGACTCAGCGATGGGCAGCTGATCGCATGCAAGAGCGACGGGATGATGCCACTTTCCGTCAGCGCCGACGCGCCCGACGGAATGCCCACGACGACCGAGAGGAGGCCGAGGACGCTCTCGACCCAGTACAATTGGCGGTCGGTGCTCTGCGTGAGGTCACGGAACGGCGTCCAGTCGGCGGTCGATGTCGTTGCTTGCACAAACGCGACTGCCAAGGTCATGTCCATGTCGGCGTCGGGCGACTTGTCCTGGCTGAGCGTGAGGCTGCTTAGCGTCCCCATGGTGTGTCGCACGAGCGAGAGGAACGCGCCGTGGGGCATGCCCCGGACGACACCGAGCGCCGAGAGCACGGACGACTGCAGCCGCGAGAGGTCACGCACGCCGCGGCTCTGCACGACGCCGTCGCTCACGAGCGCCGTGAGGACTTGGATGGCCGCGACGCGGACCGGCAGCGGTACGTGCGGGTGGATGTCGTACCGAATTAGCTCGACAATCTCGACGACGAGCTCGGCGTTGGCCTCCATGTACTGTGTCACTTCTTCCGAGTCGCCGAAGATGTAAAAAAGACCAAGAAGCGCATGGAGGCGCTCGACGACCGCGGCTTCCCGCGTCGATCGCGACGCGGCGCTGTAGCTCGATCGGATACGGTACAGCAGCTTGAACTGATGCTTCTCGGGGACGTGGTGCTCCTGGATGAGCTGCGCCAAGACATTCGCGGCAGTAGTCGGCGTGACCTGCGCCGGCGGGTCCGGAATCTTGATCGAAACAAGCACGCTGTCTTTCGCCACCTCGTCGTAGCGGTAAAACTGGTAGACCATTTCCGGCCGCGTGGCCTCGGTGCGCGTTGCGTCGTCTTGGAGGTAGTCGACCATGTCGAGACTGCTGCTCGCTCCGCCGCTGCCTTCGGCCACGACGAGAAGGTACTTTTTCAATAGCGTGCGGTCGCGCGCCTTGACGTCGTTGGGTGCCCGCGGGTCCGTCGCGTACCGATGCGGGAGCGACGGCAGTGCGAGCATGGCCACAAGCTTGATCGCTTCGCGCGCAATGCGCTCGCTCGTCGCGCCCACGAGCAAGACGAGGTGATCGATCGACGGGTACAAGTGCTTGTTGGTCGCGTTCTCCGAGAGGATCGCCGAGACGCGGAGCACCTCGTACGCGAGCTCGTCGCGGGCCGCATACGTCCAGGCGCCAGGCGCCAGCGCGTCGCCATTATGGAAGATGACGATCGGGCGGCCGTCGTCGGTCGCGGCGCGGGTAACGATCCGGTCGAGGAGCTTCCCAAAGGCCGCGAGCAACGGGATGTAGTTGTACAAATCAGCTTGGGCCTCAAAGGGCCAGTCGCGCAGCCGCTGGAGCAGGCGAAGGAGGGCGTCCGGGGGCGGGGCGCCTCCGACGCAGCGTCGTCGCAGTGGCGGACCAGCAGATCCACGAGCGCTTGCTCCCCTTCGGTCGGTGGATACCTCGGGGCTCCTGCGCCGCAGATCATTTCGTGTTTCGTTTCCGCAAAAATCCCGACTCCCAAATCTCGCAAAAAGGCTTTTGGTCGGTTAATTTATACGGACAAAGAAGCTCCACGCGGAGGAGGAGGAGGCTGCTGCTGCATGGAGAGTCCCGAGGTAGACGGCCATCCTCATGCACGCTCCGCCATTCGCAGGTGCTTCGTCGTCATGCATCTCCGCGCATCAAGACGCGCGATGAGAGGGTTCTTCGATCGCGATCCGAAGACGGCTCGCTCCTTGGGTGGCGATCACGTCGACGAGTCCGTGGCGCCGTCGGCAGCGGCGCACGAGGGCAGCATGGTCCATGGCCCGCGAGTCGTCTTTCTCGGACCACATGCATGCACCTCGTCAGAGAGGAAGAGGGAGGAAGCGCATGGAGGTCGGGTGAGCGCTGTCCTCGTCGGAGAACCTGAAAATAGGTCCTGTCCGGATACAAGGGTGGTATACTCTAACCAAGATGTGTAATGCCAGAGTCTGAACCGGCCGGGAACGCTTGCATATCTCATGACGAGCAGCTTCACGGGTACGACGAGGACGAAGATGCTCATGGCACCTTGGCTCATCTCGGACGGATGGGCGTGCTAGGCCAGCAAGCGGTCGCCAACGACATCCGCCACGTCGCCGGACAGGTCCAGGCGCGGCTCCGCGGCGACCTGCACTTCACCGAGGAGTTCATCCCGAGCGCGCGCGCCGAGGCGAAGAGCTCCATCTTTGTCTCGTCGGATTGGAACTCGAACCCGCGCATGTGCGTCTTCCTCCAGTGCGGGCCTGGCGTCGTGCCGGGCCTCTGGGCGATCCCGCGCCCACCGAGTGGGAGCGTCCCATCGGCCTTTACATCGGCGCTCCACCAAATGTCGATGCTGCCGTACGCCCGCGCTGCGGTGCAGAATGGCCAGTCGGTGGTCATTATGAATCCGAGCACCAACTACGGCGTCGTCAAAGGCCAGAAGGTCAAGATCCTCCATAGCGCGACGCCCGAGGACCACGTCGCGCACGTCTGGAACACGTACATTGCGCCCTCGTCCGCCGGTCAAATCAACTTTGTCGTCCTCGACGTCGCCGGCTTGCTCTTGAACCAGTTTCTGCGACAGCTCCGGCCCGAACACCACGTACGTCGCACGATGCCATGCCATGGCGAGGACCCTCCTGACGCTGCTGCTGCTTAGGGACGCATTGGCGGCGTTGTGTACATTGACGCGCCGCAGGCCGCGCGCCGGCATCGGTCCGAGCCGCCGGACTTTGAGACGCTCATCGAGACGCGGTCGATCCATTTTGAGCCGTCGTCCGAGCCCATGTTCCAGGTCGTCTCGAATGCCAACCAGTACAAGTGCACGTCGCTCTCGATCGGGCGCTTCTCAGGCGATCACTCGGTCGCTTCCGTCATCCAGTCGGTGCAAGCATCGGCCTTTATGTTTCTGCAGGTACGACTGCTGCGATCGCCTCTCGTGGATCGAGCATATTCATATAGCTCATTGGGAATGGCCTCGACGATGCCATGCTGGCGCTACGGGCAACGATTCCCAACAAGCTCGTCGTGACCGTCAACCGCGCGCGACTCACGGGACAGCCCTACAACAACCCATATGCTGTTGTCGCGTGCGTCGGCCAGAAGAAGGAGACGGTCGGCAACCACCGCAAGACGATGGACCCGGAGTGGAACCAGACGTTTTCGTTTCCCGTGAGCGACGCCGCGACGACCGTCGTCGTGACCGTCAAGGACAAGACCTTCCCGCTCTCGACGTCGCTCGGCCATGTCGCGCTGGGCATGACCGACATTGGCCTCAACCGCCCCGGTACGCTCGCCATACAAACGCGAAAAGGCCCGTATCGGAATTTTGCGTCTAGTGCGCAAGTGGTTCACGCTCCGCGACGAGCGCTCGAGCAGCAGCCACGGCAACGGCGAGCTCGAACTCACACTCGAGTGGGTCCACGACACGTTTGTGGCCCGCACCGACTCGTTCATTCGCGGCCAGCGCGGCAACAGCGCTGCCCGCCCGCCGTCCGGCGGCGCCATCATCGACACGAAACCCGCCAACGCGGCAGAAAACCAGTGCTACCTCTGCAAGTGCAGCTTTCTCATGCACCGCCGGCGCCACTGCCGCATGTGTCTCCGGCCGGTCTGCGTGAGCTGCTCGGACCGGCTCTTCCTCCCCGGCTTTAGCGAGGCCAAGCGCGTCTGCACCGCGTGCTGCAACCTCCAGATCATGATCCACAAGCAAGGCACGAACACCGCAGGGTCGTCGCGCACGGCCAGCTCGCATCTGACGACGCGCCACCCAAGCCCACTCGGCCTCGATGTACCAACGCCGTACGCCGTTCTACCCTACACGCACCAAAATGGCGGGCACGCGCCCGTGCAGATCACGTACGACCAAGCAGCGCTCGACGAAGCGTCGCGCAACATTGAGCGCATGGTTGCCCGCGAAAAGGAAAAGGACGACAAGCCCCTCGGTATCGACGACTTTGACTTGATGAAGGTCGTGGGCCGCGGCGCATTTGGCAAGGTCCGAGAATAGCCCGTTTCTTGGATCATATATACCGAGCCGATGCTAGGTCATGCTCGTGCGCAAGAAGGCGGGAAAGAACGGCGGCGCCATTTACGCCATGAAGATCCTCAAGAAGGCGCACATCATTCAAAACGACCAGGTATATGGACGCCGCTTCGATGGCCGTCCGATGGACGCGGCGGTAGGTGGAGAACACGAAAGCGGAGCAGCACATTCTCAAGGAGATCAACCACCCGTATGTGGTGCGTCTCCGATACGCGTTCCAGAACCCGGAGAAACTGTACCTGATCATGGACTACTACCCCGGCGGGTCGCTCTACTACCATTTGCGCAAGTCCAAAAAGTTCTCGGAGGAGCGCACGCGCCTCTACATGGCGCAGCTTCTCACAGCGATCATGCATCTCCACTCCAAGGACATTGCGTACCGAGATTTGAAGCTCGAGAACATACTCATGGATGCCCACGGCCACATTGCGCTCACGGACTTTGGTCTCTCCAAGGAAGGCCAGTCGATTGACGGCGCGATCCGGCAGTCCCAAGCGCAGCGTACCTTGCACCGTCCTCATTATTGTGGTCTCTCACAAAGTAGTAGTGGGCATGAAGACCATTTGCGGCACGGCCGAGTACATGGCGCCCGAACTCCTTCGGCATCAAGCGTACGGCAAGGTCGTCGACTGGTGGAGCTACGGCATTTTGCTCTTCGAGATGCTCACGGGGCGCACGCCGTTCGTCGATAAGAACCGGCGCACGATGTTCAAGAACATTATGCACTCGGAGGTCGTGTACCCGCCGTACATTTCGGCCACCGCGCGCTCCGTCATTGCGAGGTACTCGAGTCCTCGATGCCATCGATCTGGCGTGATGGCAATGATGCCTTTAGGCTACTCACGCGCGACCCGAGCAAGCGCCTCGGGGGCGGCCCCACGGGCGGCAAGGAGATCATGGCGCATCCGTTCTTCGCGCCCATCGACTGGGACGCGCTGCTCCGGAAGGAGCTCTCGCCGGTCTTTCTGCCCAACGTCAGCGCGATCGACGACGTCTCGAACGTGCCGGAAATGTTCCAGAAGATGGCGGCCATCGATTCGCCGATCGCCAAGGACGGCAAGGCGCTTGCGCACTTCGACGACTTTAGCTACCAAGAGGAGACGAACCTGCGGCAGCAATAAGAACGTACTGTGCAACATAGAACCATGTATGTCCCTTGGACGTTCGTGTAGGGCCCTTTCCCTTTCGTAACACGCGGCACGCTGCAGATACCAAGGGGTAGGGTCCATTAATAGTTCTTCCATACCCAGTATTCGGATGCACATCAGGACATATATAGGTTGGAGAGAGGAGAGAGGCGTCGAAGGGGATCATATTAAGGGCTCGACGATCTTTTCTTCTTCTTGTCTTTCTTCTGTTTGTGGAGTCGATTGCGCCGGTCTCGATCTCGTCTTCGTAGTCGCCGTAGCGTCGGCTGCGCGGCTTCCTCCCGCTCAAATGTCATCAAAGGTCGCCTCCATATCGGACGAGTCGGCGTCGTCGTCGAGCGAGTACTTGCGCGGCCGG